CATTACATGCCAGAGAATATTGGTCCAGAAGGTCATCCTCTTTCTGTGTCCCTCTCTCACTCTCTCTTTATATATATGACATCACGTTCTGAACTATCAGTGTTCTCTTATTACTGCCATTTGAACCCTCTTCCAGCAAAATAGTTTACATTTTCATCACCATTATTCTTGTCCATATTCCAGGGAATAATGTGGAAATGATAATTTTTATATACTCAAACATTTTATTTTGGGGAGGGTATTGTGTTGCTCATCAACCATGGCAACCAATTTCACCAGGATGGACACACCCAGTTGGTTTGTCAAGGCAAATATTATGCTTACATCTGTTTGCCCTGTCTGTGACCCTGATTCCTCTAAGCAGAGGTCTGACTGGAGTTAGCTAGCACTTATAAAGATGAAAAGGAAATGGCGTAGTAGAAGGAGCATGAAATTTGGAATTAGGAGCCTTGGGTTTGAATTCTAGCCCCACCATTCACTATGTGTGTTGCTTTGGGCAAAGCACATCACTTTTCTTGAGTTTAGTGTCCTCATAGGTGAAATGATGACCTCCAAACAACTAGTCCTGGGATGCTTGAGCTCTTGTTTTTCCCCATTAGAATGTAAGGTCCTTCAGGGCATGGCCCATCTTTCTTGCTTATGTGTGTACCCTTAGCACTTAGTAGAGCACCTGGCGCACAAGTCCTTAAAAATGTTTTGTCTCTCTGTCTGTCTCTCACTCATTCTAGTTATATCTCTCTGCTTATATATCTATCTAATTAATCTATCATTTATCTATGTGTCCATATATCCATCTATCCATCATCTATCTAGCTATAATCTGTCTTTCTATCTTTCTATGTTTTTATCTATCATCTATCTATCTATCTATCTATCTATCTATCTATCTATCTATCTATCTATGTAGTTATATCTGTCTATCCATCATCTGTCTGTCTATCTATCATCTATCTATCTATCTATCTATCTATCTATCTATCTAATCTATCAGCAATGTAGGCAGTAGGTAGTACAGCGGATGGAGGACAGGTAGATCGAATTCATATCCAACCTAAGGCACTTACTAGCTATGTGATCCTAAGTTACTTAACCTGTCTTTGCCTTAGCTTCCTCAACTCTAAAATGGGCATAATAATCACATGAACCTCATAGGGTTATTGTGAAGATGAAATGAGGTAAAATCAGTAAACTGCTTTGCAAACCTTGCAACTAAATATAAATACTAGGTATTATTAGTATTATCTTTTTATTTTATCACTGTGTACCTGTTTCCTCATCTGCAAAGTGAAAATGACAGCATCAATGATCTCTAATGTCCAGTTAAGTTCTAAATCCTAAGGTTCTTTGCCCTTGCAATTCTATTTAATCAGAGCATTCAAACCAATAAAGTTCAAACTCTTAGGCCTGGCATTCAAAATTCTCTACAATTTTGGTGTCACTCTATTTACCATTCCTTCCTTATTACTCTTCTCTGTTCCCTCCAAAATGTACAACTCTTCCCCTCCCCTTACCCTTATGCCAAGTTGTTCCTAGGCTGCTTTCAGAGGATCAAGTATGATAGCGTTTGAGCTAGAAGGGACAGCAGAGGCCATCTATCTCAATCCCTCATTATATAGAAAGGGAAACTTTTCACTGAGCTCAGACAGATTTAAGGGTCTTTGCTAAGGCTCCTCCAGTCTTTACCATGAAACTTGGTACATTTGTAAGCCAGTTCCAAATCATGCAGAGTGTGATGCGTGTCCCAGTAAAGCTCCTGACATTGTTCCACCCCAATCTGAGGGTCCTAAGGGACTTCGCTGTCAACAGGGCACCCTAGAAGCTCATTCTGCCCCATGTGGCCCCTTCACCGTGAAATTATACTCTTCCCCTTGTGGTCCCTTCTTTCATTGGTCAGTTCTTCTCAGAACTTTCAGCAATGTCTTCATTCATCTCCTGACTCCATGAACTACTCTCTAGACTTTTCCTACCATGTTCCTGGGCAGGTACCTTCTCCCTTCACCCCCCCCCCCACAGCCCCTACTCAACATTTCCAATTCCTTTTATGTATTGTCTTGTCCAATGGAATGTGAGCTCCCAGAGGCCAAGGACTGTCATTCTTTCTGCTTCTATATATTTCCAGCAGTTATCACAATTCCTAGCACATAGCAGTAGGTATTTAATTAATACTTATAGACTTGACATGACTTGTAAGAAACCACTCCAATTTCTTTGTGTTTTAGCTGAGAATAAAATATAGTTAATGGACGATAGTACTTTGGTAAATGTATTAGATGTCGCATTATAATATACTGTTTAAGCCCAGAAGTCTTTAGTTGAACTGGAGTTATAGAAGCATGGAGAAGAGTAGAAAGGATCACTGCATTGAAAAGATTGTCAGAATTCTCTGTGTGCCTAGCAGACCAACAGATGCATTTCAGTTTCATAAACAGGAATTAGGACTCAGTTCAGGATTTAAGGACTTTGTCAGCCCTGGTGGTCAGAATATCCTCTGAAATCATCCAAGATTATTGTGGACAAATTATGGACAAAATAAAGCTTCTTTCTGATACAGATGTATCTTAACCCTTCCATAATAATAATAATAATATTGATAATAATAGTGCAGTTTCTCTAAAATTAGGATAGGGACAAAATGTGTACCTGTGACTTCACTGCTATAGGGAGCTCCTCAATTAAGAAACAGCCTCTACTAAGGAAGGTTGGCTCCTGCTGTGCAGCCTAACACCTTCAAGAGTTGTCCTTGCCACTGAAAGGTGCAATGACTTGCCCAGGGTCCCAGAGCCAGTATATGCCAATGTGAGATTGTAACTCAGGCTCTTCTGCCTACATAATCTGCAAGATAATGATCACTCATTATTTGGAAAGTTCAATCCAGTCATGTGTTCCTTAGCAATCTCAACCAACTGAATGAGGACACCATCCTCATCAGTCTTACACTGTACAATCTCTATAGTTTAGTACTTTTTCATTTTAAATAGGGGTCAAAGAGAAGCTAAATTAAATTATAAAACTTCATATTACAGTATCCCATGAGAGGATACATCCATATTTTTTATAAAGTTGGGAGACAGATTTGGACTTTATTTTTAGTGTCTCTGCTGCTAATAGTCAGAATCTTGTCCACACTAGGATATTGGAGTGATGGGTGGTTTCAGGAAAGAGGCAATTGCCCCGTCCTTTGGACCTCTTTTGTGAGTGATGGCTCTAGGTTCTTCAGGTTATAAGCAGAATCATTGTGATGATATTTTAGAGCCAGAAGATAACTTAGAGATAAGTTCAGCTTATCATTTTTAAGTTAAGCAAATTAAAACCTAGAGAAATTCTGACTTGAATGAGTTTCCATGGCCCGTTAAAGTTAGGTCTAGCCCCAAAGGGTACTGACTTCAGAACATATTAACAGTTAATTATTAATGTACACTATATGAATAGACAAGGATCTCTAGCTAAGAGACTGCTACTCAGGCAGTTTGGCCCCTACTTTGCATCTTATAGTGTTACAGAATTGTCAGTGACTTGCCCATCACAGGATGAGGTTGTGTCATAGACAGAATTTGACCCTAGATCTTCCTGACTCTGGGAGTGGCTTGTTTCACTCACATGCTTGAGGTAGACATCCCCCTAACTCACCAGCAGGTTTGAGGTCCATTGGTTACCCTCAACTTGCTTTAGCCCTTTTGCCAAGACAGTTTTACTGAAGTGTGGCCACAGCACATGCTACCCAGCTTCTTGAAACCATAGTGAGAGTTGGGTGATTGATTAGACACCACAGGTGAATGAGTAGCCCTGAAAAGATCTCAGCAAGCTCTCCCAGTAGAGGTGCTAGTCCTTTTGAACACTCTACACACCCAAAGGTGATAGTCCCACTGTGGAAAGCAATCTCTCTGTCCTGGTGAGACCATATCTGGACAATTGTGCTCAGCTCTTGGGGCTACATTTGAAGAGGGACATTGGTAAGCTGGAGACAGTCTAGAAGAGGGTTTGCAGACTACAGACTCTGCTATTTGAAGTTCCCGTGAAAGGAATAAGAACAGTTAGCTTGGAGAAGAAAAAATTTAGGGGTGTACAGGACCGTAGTTCTAACACTGAAAAGGACCTTAGAGTGCAACCACTTTATTTCACAGATGAGTAAACTGGGGAGAAGGAGAGTGAGAACGATAGGCTAATGGTCCCACACGTTCTCTGACTTGAAATCCAGCACTTCTCCCACTGAGCCATGACCTTAAAGTCTCTGAGGGTCTGTGGTGTGGAAAAAGAGCCCAACTTGGCTCATTTTGCCCTGGAGGGCGGTCCTAGGAATGGCAGATGGGAGGCAGGATTCGGCTCTGCAGAAAGAGAACTTTTCTATAACTTATAGCTGTCCAAAAGTGACATGGACCATCTGGGATGCTTGGGTTTTCCATCTCTAGGGTTCTTCCAGTGGAGGTTCTTGGACAACCACTGGATCTTCCATATCATATGAGCTTGAGTAGTGTTCATTGAATTCATGTTCTGTTGGAGGAGATTCCTGCTTGGGTAAGCGTTGCACTAAATGATTTCTGTTCCAACTCTGAGATTCTGTCTTGTGGGGGTAGACTAACTTCTGTGCACAATTGTTGTTGACTAACCCACGTGAGAAGTTACAAGTGTAATTTCTCTAGCCTACTAGCAACCATTTAATATTGTTGTTCTTCCTCTTTACATTTTAATTGTTTTGCTATATTCCTATTGCAGTCTTTTACTTTTTATATCATTTGTTTCTGAAAATATCCCTCCCTTTGCCCTTCGTAGCAATCCATCTTTTATAATATTTTTTTGAAGAAGAGGTAAAATAAGCAATTCAGCAAAACTAATAGGAAAAAGACCATGTCCTATGACAGATAGAATATTATTACCTACAGTCCCCCACTTCTGCAATACAGGGAGAGAGGCATGCTTTCCTATCTTTTCTCTAGGGACAAGCTGGACTGCCATTCAAAACTGTCTTAGTTCTCATCCAAACAATAAAAACACATTTAAAAAAATGGTAAATGAGAGTAGACTTTATTTGTCAGTGGGCAGGATAGTGAATAAAAAGGTGATAATTGTCACACTTGGCTAAATAGTCCTTTCACATACACATCCAGATATTTTGTGTTACATCATCCACATGTCAATGTTTCCTTCACACCCGGCAATCAGGAATACATCTGAGAAATGTTTATAATCAAAAGGGGAATGGATGAGGTGGGACAAAGCCAGAAGAAAAACTGGATTTGTACTCCTCTCACAAAACCTGAGCTTCAGGCCTCTATACATAAGGCCCTTTACTTCGGTATCGTCACCTGCAGCTCACCCAGCCACTTCAACATTATTTTATAGATGTGACTGCCACTACAAGGGGTCTCCTCTGGAGGTATAAATACAGATACTTGTGCAATGTTGGATAATTTGGACTTCAGATTTGCTTTATCAACAGCCTGGATGGCAATGCAGATGTTGGTGCCATTTACCAGATTGATGCCTTTTGGCTCAAACACAAAGAATTCCTGGGTGCTGGCCTCCTTAGGTGTCAGGTGAGTAGTGTTCACTTGGAGAGCATCATCAAACTTATCCCGTAGGTCAAGGATATTTTCACTCATTCGTATGATGTACTCTTGGGCTAAAAGGACATGAAACTACTGATAATATTTGCATAGATTTAATAAAGTAGAAAAATAACAAATATTACAGAGATCAGAAGAATGTGTTCTCCCTATCTAAGAAATCAATAGTAAGCTATAGTTATAGTCTTATCTAGCATTCCATTTAAGGTCTTGTATATGCATCCTTGACAGAGTGATAAATGTCAAGCAGGTACCTATGTAGTAGATCTCCACAGGAACAATTTTTCCTGAGAGAGGGAATGATATTTCTTGTTAAGTTCTTTAGAGATTAAATTCTGGGTAGATTTACTCTCAAAGGGGGTAACTTAGTTCTACAGAACATTTCTATCTTATTCCTAAACCTGCCCCTCCATCTACCTTTCATTCTTCTAGGCTATACATTTCTGTCTTCTCTGATACAAACCTCAAGAGCTTTCTATGAACTTTGTTGCTTTAGTAAAATATCTCATAGTATAAAAGCATGAATTTCTGGGAATAGATTTTCTTTTTAAAACCATATTTTTTAAATTGCTCTTTCTTCAGTAGAGGGCGTTCAAGAATGGCTAAGTGGCTGCTTGTTTGCATATGAGTTGGATTAGGTGGGCTCAGTATTCTCTTCTAGCACTAATAGTCTATGTTCCTTGTGAATATTCTCTCCTTCCTGAAATTCCTTTGAATTATTTTGTATATTAATTACATTTACTTAACTCTGTTCATGTTGGATCTCTACACCAGAACACAAGCTCCTTGAGGGCAGGGACTCTCTTTCTGCAGTGCCTACTGCACTGACTTGTACAGAGCAGACACTTGGAAATGGCTGCTTTTTGTTGTTGTTGTTGTTCTAAATGATAACCAAACTTCACACTTACCTTGACCATCATCATAGTCATCTCCAGGAGCTGTCCATGTCAGATTAATTCGATTTCCTTCTATCTGAGCCTTGAGGTCAGTGATTTGAGATGGTGGGAATACATCTTGAATAGAGCCACTTGGAATATTGGTTACTATAAATGAACCTCCTGATGCTGTTCTGCTGAAAGATACTTGCTTGCCTTGAAGGTCATTGGCATTAAATTCAGGTCGTGGTGGATTCATTTTTACTTCTCCTGCATGGAAAAAGTTATTCAGGTCTTTAGGCACAATACCACTTGCTTGCTGCATTTTTTTGGGGAGGCACTTGGGGTTAAGTGACTTGCTCAGGGTCACACAGGTAGTAATGTCAAGTGTTTGGTCTGAGGTAGGATTTGAACTCAGGTCCTCCCGACTTTAGGGCTGGTGCTCTATCCACTTTACTGCGAGTGCTCCATCCACTACAGTTTCATTATATGTGATCATAGTGCCCCCAGCTCACCTGCCTCTTTCAGTTTTTTTCTTCTCAATAACACTTTCATCTTCTGCTAAATTTAGGTATCAATCCATGGTCAAGTTTGTAAGAAGTAAAAGGAAGAAAGGAAATATCCCAGCTGTCTTTCCAGAAGACCAGGTTTACTGGAAATCACTCATTTGGAAAAACTGTGTCACCTCCTCTGCCTATCTAATTAATCCTTTACATCTTTCAGATCCTATTTCATAGTCTGCATCCTCCCAATGGCCTTCCCTGACTACTCCAGCCTCAAGTGAACTGATTTTGCTTGCCTCTGAGGCATGTAGTATTTACTGTCTATACCAGAAACATGAAACATGCTGCCTGACTCATTGAGAAGCAGGAGGGAATAGATTTATATAGCTTGGCCATGTTGGAGAGAGCCAAGAGCCATGGGTAGACATTAGACAGGAGCAGATATAGCCATTAGAGCTTTTCTAACATAGAATAGACTTTTTCAATGGACCATCACTAGAGAGCATCAAGCAGATGATGGAAACAGTATGTTGTAGAGGAGACTTTTGCTCCAGGAATGGGTTGTTCTAGAAGGCCAAGGAGGTCCCTTCCAGTTCTGAAATACTGTGATACTTAGCTCTAACCTTTCTACTTCTACCCAAACATTTGTGTCTGTGGGCAATACTGGAATACTTAAGGCTTACCAGTTACAGATATGCTGAGACTGCTTTCTTGTGTTGTATTGGTCTGGTGAATTTTCTATGTAGGACAAACATACTGGACTTACAGTAAGATGTACATGGTAGGTAGCCTCTCAACTGCAGAATTGCAGAACCTCAGAGTTGCAAGTGACTGAATGGCCATATTACCCATGATATGTGAAAAGAGTCCTCCTCTACGACAAACCTGAGTAGTCATCCAGATTGGACTTGAAAGTCTTTAGTGATGGGGAGCCCATCTAGTGGGGGGAAACTCTGCTTGCTGAGGTAGCTCATTTAGCTATGGAAGACATCTAAGTGTTAGAAGGTTTGACCTTCTATCAAGGTAAATCTTCCTCTATGCAACTTGTACATCCTGAGGTTGTTTCTGCCCTCTGGGACAGATCAATTCTAATCTTTCTTCCTTGAGAGATCCTTTCAACTACTTGACAGGGAAGTCTTCTCTTAGTTGGGCTAAATAGCCCCACTTCTTTCAACAAGTTTCAGAAGGTATGAATAATCTTTAGTTTGAGATCCAAGATGTGCGAAAGTTCAATTGGATCCCCTCTTGCCATTGACTCAATAGAGTACCATATTTTTGTTATGGGAAGTTTCCAAGAAAATGAAAAAAATTATGAAAAGAAATCAACCAATTGGAAAAAGAGATCTAAAATCTTAAGGAACAATATAATTCCTTGAAAAGTAGAAGTGGGCAAGGGGAAGTGAATGATGTTATACATCATCTAGAAATAATAAAACAAAATCAAAAGAATAAAAAAATAGAAGAGAATATGAAACATCTAATTAGAAAAACAACTGATCTAGAGAAGAGGTCAAGGAGAAACAAGATATGAATCGCTAGAGTACCTGAAAGTTAAATTTTAAAAAAAAGAATATTGATACAATATTACAAGAAATTGTGAAGGAAAATTACCCTGAGATTCTAGAACAAGAGGGTAAAGTAGAAATAAAAAAAACCCCCACCATTCACCATCTGAAAGAGATCTTCGGTTCCTTACCATTCTCTATCCAACCTGGTACATAAAAGGCTCCATTCACTTGGGGTCTTGACATTTGGGTGCTTGTTCCTCCCAGGGCTCTCACTTTTAAGCTGTATCGACCATTTGTTTTGTAGGATCTGAAATACCTTGAATAGACACCATCGTTTTTGAAAGCATCAGGATCTTTGTGTAGAAATAAAAGTGTTGTTAAGCATTGCCATGATGAAGGAATATATAAATTCTCAAAAATACACTTGGACGTTGGCAAATAGTTATAGACTCAAACATACATGCCACTTCTAGAGACAAACTACATTTTTATAAACTATTTGAGAGTTTTCAAAGCTTATTACAAACTTGATCTCATTGGAATCTCTCAACAACCCTGCAAGTACTATAACATTGGTGTGTTAGAGTAAACTTGTAGTACAGAAAGCTGATTGGTCAATTTTTAATGTTGAGCATTTATACCTTGGAAGTACCTACAAATTGGGCCTTGGTTTATTGTTTAGTTGAATGTCTAGATTTAAGAAAACAATGGAGATTAAATTTAGAAGTGTGTTGTATGTTCTTTTTTTCCCCAGAGAGTCAGTGCTTAAAAATATACCAGCAGAGCCCAGTTGAAATATATTATTGTACCCATTGTATAAATGAGGATCCTGAAACTTAGATCAGTTAAGTGACTTTTCCAACATCAAAGAACTAGTAAGTATAAGAGGCAGGACTTGAACCCATGTCTCTTCCTTCTCTCTCAATCTCCATATCCAGTCATTTGCCAAGTCTTGTCAATTTGACCTCTATATCATCTTTTCCATCAATCTCTTTTCCTCTACTCATACAGCCTCTACCCTAATTCAGACATTTGGATGATTATAAAAGCCTCATAATTGGTCTTCCTGCCTCCAGTCTCATCCCTCTGCAACACTCCTAAAACACAGATCTGAACATATGACCTTACTATGCAAAAACTTCAACTACCCCCATTATTTGTTTAGAAACCTTGTCAGTCTTTTAAATCCCTCCATAATTTAACTGCCACCTGCCTTTGTAGTGTTGTTTTCTATTACTCCCTTTCATGTGATCCCCATACCAATCAGACTGGTGGGCTAAATGTGCCCTGGACATACCCTTCACTCTCTTACTTTTCTGCCTTTGCTTAAATGACCCACTGGTCTCCCAGTTTTGGAATGTGCTTCTTCCTCAGCTCTGATTCTTGGAATCCATAGCTAACTTCAAAGCATAGCTCAGGTCCCATCTCCTCCACAAGGCCTTCCCAAATTTCCCCTATTTGTTAGTTCCTTCCCTATCCTGTTTCACACCTAAAGTACTTGCAATTTACCTTGCATATAATCTGCCTTTACCTATGTGTGCACATTATTTTCAGCCAGTTTGATTGTAAGTTCCTTGAGGGCAGGGAATGCTTACTGTTTGTGAAAGCATTCCTAGGTATTAGCATTGTGCCTTACCTTAGTATCAATTTAATAAATGTCTCTCAAATACATACATTTTTATTAAATGGATACCCCACATAGTGCCAAGAGGTTCTCTCCCCCAGAATGCACAGGTATTTCAAGGAGTAAAGGAGACATCATTGCTGAAGGCTGTCTACATAGCCCATTCCCTGGAGGGGATGAATTGGTGACAGAGGCAGGGTGGTGCTGATCTTTGGTCAGTGTGATATTCTTCCTCTCAGGGATCATGGAAAAATTTGGGAGCCATTGCTCTGTAATATTTCCCTATGGTCTAATGATTTTGAATTTGCTTTTTACCAAATAATATTCAAATTTGTTTAATACCTGATTACAGTCTTCTATGGGCCCCTCTTTCCTAAGCTATATGGGTTCACCTAACCCAAGTTACTGGATTCCCTTGTGATCTCAGGGAGAGCCTTGATTGCTTGTGTATTCATAGATTATACACTTTCCCTAAAACCAAAAGATTCTTAGCTGTCTTTGTTTGGTTACTAGGGGGCCTGTTATGTTTCCAGGTAAACAATCTTCCTGGACCTCAAGCCTGATGCTGACATTCATTCACTTCAATTCAGTAAGCTAGAGGCACATTAACAAGAAGGAAACAGACCCTGTCCTCAAGCAGATTACATCTAGCTTGGCAGACACAACTGAAACAAAGAGAAGTAGTGGAAAGGTCAATACAAAGTGTGTACAAGGTAAATACCAAGCAGTTTTGTGGGGAGGAGAATAGAGAGGGAAGTAGCTTTTAGGGGAATTCAGGAGAAATCATGTGTAGGAGATGGGACCTGATTTGTGTTGTAAAAGAAGCTAGGGTTTCTAAGAATCAGAGGGGAGGAAGGAATAGATTCCTTACTCATAAAAGTGGAGAAAACTTTTGCACAGATCTAAAGTTCTTTTCAAAGGAAATAAAACATGTTTTTCATGGATTATGAGCTGGAAAGGACAGTGGTTGGACATTGAGTCCAACACCTCATTTTACAGTTGTAGAAACTGAGACCCAGTGATATTGTGACTGCCCAAGATCATACAGCTAATACATTTCAAACATGAGTGTCCAGGCAAGAGATGGAGCCAAGATGGCAGAGTAAAGGCAGGGACTCACCTGACCTCTCCTCAGACCCCTCCAAATGGTGTTAAAGAATGACTCTAAACAAATTCTAGAGTGGCTGAACCCACAAAATGACAGAGTGAAACAGTTTTCCAGCTGAAGATACCTTAGAAGGTTGTCAAGAAAGGTCTATTGCACTAGGGTGAGAGAGGAAAACTATCCAGTGCAGGCTGCACCAGTGAAGACCAGACTCCAGCAAAACAGGTGTAGGCCTCAGGACAATTGAATCAGTGGCAGTGGTGGTGACTTCCAGACTTCTCAGCCCAGAAATGGTAAAGGGATTGGACAATGGGTCAGAATGAGATTTATAGGGGTTCCTTTGCTGGCACTTGGGCAATACTCTGTTGCATTGCCTGTACTTGGATCTGGGTTGCCGTCTGGAGTTTCAGTCCCAGTGTGAGGAGTAGCACTAGGAAAGCAAAACAAAACTTACAGCCACTGGGGTGCAGGGACCGCGGTCAAAGTTTCAGAATTAAAAAGACTGCTTGTGGTCCCTCAGAGACCAGAGCACAAGTGAGGAGAGTAGTAACACATCTCTCCCTAGATCATACCACCTTGGAAGTGCCAAAATCTTACAGTCCCCAGAAGTACCTCTCAAAACAGCTGCACAAAAACATGACATTTGGGACAGTGTCCCCTCCACTTGGGAAGCAAAGCCCCACTTTAGCATAGAGTTAAAAGTCAAGAAATTGACTTGAAAATGAGCAAACAACAGAAAAAATTCTGACCATAGAAAGTTACTATGGTGACAAGAAAATCAAAACACACACTCAGATGACAACAAAGTAAAAATTCCTGTATCCAAAGCCTCAAAGAAAAATATGAATTGCCCACAGAACATGAAAGAGCTCAAAAGGGATTTTGAAAACCAAGTAAGAGAGGTAGAAGAAAAATTGGGTTGGGAGTGATGCAGGAAAATCATGAAAAATGAGTCAACAGTGTAGTAAAGGAGGCATGAAAAAATACTGAAGAAAATAGCACCCTAAAAAACAGAATAGGTCAAGTGGTAAAAGAGGCAGGAAAATCTAATGAATAGGGGAATCCTTGAAAACAGAATTGGCCAAAAAAAAATACATGCAAAAATTCACTGAAGAGAAGAACTACTTTAAAAAGTTGAATTGACCAAATGGAAAAGGAGATACAAAAACTCACTGAAGAAATAATTCCTTAAAAGTTAGAATTGAGCAAGTGGAGGCTAATGACTTTATGAGACATCAAGAAACTATCAAACAAAATCAGAAGAACTTTTAAAAAATACAGAACAAAATGTGAAATATCTCTTTGGAAAAATAAGTGGTCTAAAAATAGATTCAGGAGAGATAATTCAAGAATTATTTGACTACCTAAAAATCATGATGAAAAAAATGAGCCTAGACACCATCTTTCAATAAATTATGTAGGAAAGTTGCCCTGATATTCTAGAACCAGAGGAAAAAATAGAAATTAAAAGAATCCACTGATCAACTCTTGAAAGAAATCTCAAAATGAAAACTTATAGGAACATTGTATCCAAATTCCAAACTTCCCAGGCCAAGGAGAAAATACTGTAAACAACCAAAAAGAAATAATTGAAATATCATAGAGCCACAGCCAGAATAAAATAAGATGGAGCAGCTTGTATGTTAAATGATTAGAGGGCTTGGAACTTGATATTCTAGAGGGCAATAAGCTAGGATTACAACCAAGAATCCTACCCAGCAAAAGTGAGTATAATCCTCCAGGAGAAAAATGGATATTCAGTGAAATAGAGGACTTTCTAGCATTCCTGATAGAAATAGCTAAACTGAATAGAAAATTTGATTTTCCAATACAAGATGCAAAAGAAGCATAGAAAGAAATGATGATCAGACAGATTTCAGGAAAACCTAGAAAGATTTAAATGAACTGATGCTGAGTGAAGTGAGCAGAGCCAGGAGAACATTGTGTACAGTAACAACAACATCATGTGATAATCAACTATGATAGACTTAGCCTTTCTCAGCAATACAGTGATGCATGACAATTCCAAAAGACTCATGATGGAAAATTCTATACATACACAGAAAGAACTGTGGAGTCTGAATGCCGATCAAAATTTACTATTTTTACTTTTTTGTTTTTGATTTTGTTTTCTTTATTCTGATTGCCCCTCTTGTTCTGATTCCTCTTTCAAAACATGAATAGTGTGGAAATAGGATTAATATGATTATACATGTGTAACCTATATCGGATTGCTTACTGTCTTGGGGAAGGGAGAGGGAAGAGAGTGAGGGAGAAAAATTTGCAACTCAAAATCTTATAAAAATGAATATTAAGAACTATCTTTACATGTAATTGGAAAAAAATACTATTAAGTTGAGGAAAAGTAGAAATGATGAGTAGGATGCTCTTTGAAAAACATGGAAAGACTTCCATAAACTGACCTGCTTTAACTTACGTGAACAAGAACAGGATGTTGTTTAGAAAATGTGGAAAGACTTACATGAACTGATGCAAAGTGAAACATGCAGAACCAGGAGAACATTGTATACAGTAATGATATTGTATGATAATCTATTATGAATAACGTAGCTATTCTCAGCTGCAGCGATCCAGGACAATTCTGTAGGACTTATGATGAAAAGTGCTGTCTATCTCCAGAGAAAGAACTGGTAGATCCTGGATGCATATGAAATATACTTTTTCTTTAGTTTCTTTATTTTTCTTGTTTTTTTAGGCTGCATTTTGTTTCACAGAATGACTTACATGAAAAATGTGTTTTGTGACTACACATATATAATCTATGTCAAACTGCTTGCCTTCTCAATAAGGGGGGGAAGAGAAAGAGGAGGAGAATTTGGAATTCAGAATGAAAGAAGACTATTAAAATTGTTTTTACATGTAATTGGAAAAACATTAAATATTGCACAAGTAATAAAGGGAGTGTAACTTTTCACTTTATTTTGTTTTGTTAAGCTTTCTCAAATATCTAAGTTATGAGCCTGACTCTTCCCTTTCAGCCAGGAAAAGGTATTAACGACCTCCTGCCAAGAATGTTGATGAACACTGATGCAAACATTTTAAAGTAAAAACTAGCAAAGAGATTACAACAATATATCCCAACGACCATATACTATGACCAGATGAGATTTATACTAGGAATGCAGAGCTTATTCAATATTAGGAAAACTATCAGCATAAGTAACTATATCAATAAGTAAAACAACAAAAATCATATTGTTATCTTAATTGATAAAGAAAAAACTTTTGACAAAATACACTACTTATTCCTATTGAAAGCACAGAAAATTATAGGAAAAAATGGAACTTTCCTTAAAATGATAAGTAGTATTGATCTAAAACCATCAATAAGTATCTGTAATTGGGATAAGCTGGCAGGCTTCCCAATAAGATAAGGAATGAAGTAAGGATGCCAATTATCACTGCTGTTATTCAATGTAGTACTAGAAATGCTAGCTATAGCAATAAGTGAAGAAAAAGAAATGAAAGCAATTAGAATATTAAATGAGGAAAAAATGGTCACTCTTTGCAGGTGATATGGTAGTATACTTAGAGAATCTTACAGAACCAACTAAAAATGTTGAAATAATTAACCACTTCAGCACCGTTGCAGGATAGTAAATAAACTCCTATTAATCATCAGAATTTCTACATATTACCAACAAAGTCTAGCAGCAAGATATAGAAAGAGAAATTCCATTTAAAATAACTGCAGATAATATAAAATGCTTGGGAGTCTACCTACTAAGAGAAACTCAGGAACTATATGAACACAATTGCAGAACATTTTCCACACAAATAAAGTCAGAACTAAACAATTAGAGAAATACTAATTGCTCATGGATAGGCCAAGCCAATGTAACAAAAATGACATTTCTACGTAAATTAATTTACTTATTCAGTGCCATACCAAACAACCAAAAGTTATTTTATAGCGTTAGAAAAAACAGTAACAAAATTCATCTGGAAGGAGAAAAGGTCAAGAATATGAAGGAAATCAATGAGAAAAATGTGAAGCAAGGCGACCTTACTGTACTCTGTCTCAAATCATATTACTATGTGTGGTAATTATCAAAACTGTCTAGTCCTAGCTAAGAAATAGAGTGGTGGAGCAGTGGAATAGATTAGGTACACAAGACACAGTGGTAAATGAACTTACTAATCTAGTGTTTGATTAACCTGAAAGACCCCAGTTTCTGGGACAAGAACTCACCATTTGACAAAAATTACTGGGAAAACTGGAAAGCCACTTGGCAGAAATAAGGTATAGGCCAACATCTTATACTACATACCAAGATAAGGTCAAAATGGGTACATGATTTAGATATAAAGGGTGGTATCACATAAGCAGATTAGGAGAGCATGCAAAATTTTATGCGTCAGATTTATGGATAAGGGAAGAATTTATGAGTAAACAAGTGGTAGAGAAGATCCAGAGAATTAAAGTGTATAATTTTGATGAAATAAAACGAAAACATTTTTGTGTAAACAAAACTAGTGCAGCCAAGATTAGAAGGTAAATAGAAAATTGGGGAAAATTTTTTTAAAGAAAGCAACTCTGATAAATGCCACATTTCTCTCAAGTATATGGAGAATAGAGTCAAATTTATAAGAATACAAGTTATTCCTGCATTGGTAAATAGTCAATGGATATGAATGAACAATTTTCAGATGCAGAAATTAATGGTATATATAGTCATATGAAGAAATGCTTTAAATCACTATTGATTAGAGAAATGCAAATTAAAACAACTTTGAGGTATCACTTCAGACCTATCAGATTGACTAATATGACAAAAAAGGAAAATGATAAATGTTGAAGAGCATGTGAGAAAATTGGAACACTGATGCATTGTTGGTGGAGTAGTCCACTGATCCAACCATTCTGGAGAGAAATTTGGAACTATGCCCAAAGGGCAATCAAACTGCATACCCTTTGATCCAGCAAATATCATTAGTAGGTCTGTATCCCAAAAAGATCATAAAAAAGGGAAAATGACCTACATGTACAAAAATATTTGTAGCAGTTCTTTTTGTGTTGGGAAAAGGTGGAAATTGAGAGGATCCTCATCAATTGAGGAATGGCTGAACTAGTTCTGATATATGAATATAATGGTATACTATTGTGCTATAAAAATGATGGGAAGGCAGATTTCAGAAAAACCTAAAAGGAAATATATGAACAGATATGAAATGAAATGAATAGAAATAGGAGAACAGTGTACACATTAACAGCAACATTTTGTGATCAATTATGAATGACTTAGCAGGTGTTCTCCTCAGTGATACAATGATCCAAGACAATTCTAAAGGACTCATGATGGCAAATGCCATCCACATCCAGACAAGGTACTGATGGAATCTGAATGCAAATCAAAGCATACAATCTTCATTTTTTTCTTTTTCCAAATAATAATGTTTTTCCAAACTGTTTCCTCTTTCACAACATGACTAATATGGAAATATGTTTCATGTGATTGCACATATATAGTATATATCAAATAACTTACCATCTTCAGGAGGGTGCCTGGTAGGTAAGGAGGGAGGCAGAGAATTTGGAGCTCAAAATATTATAAAACTGAATGTTAAAAATTGTCTTTATATGTAATTGGAAAAAATAAAATAATATTAAAAAAGAAAAAAAAGTATCTTAATTCTTTCTTAAAAGAGAAAGAACCCTAAGGTTTTTATAGGTTATACATTACCTGCACCATTATCCAGAAGTTCCAGAGTCACTGTCCTTCCATCAGCTGATTCAATGAGGGCTGTTACAGTGGCTCCTATAATAGGCAGGGATCCTTGGTGAACTTCTGCATAAACAACCATTGGACTAGGGAAGGTGCTGGTGTCTTTATTCATTTTAGAATCCACTGTAATAGGGATTACATTAGAATCTGCAGCACGGGAGGTCACTGTCAGAGTCACGGTTTGTGCACTTGACATAAGGCTATAAGTCCAAATTCCATCCTAAAAAATCAGTAGAAATTCATTAAAGTAAAACAGTGTTAAGAGCTGCCCTACATGCCTTCTCTGTTATCCATATCTATCTTAACATATTATCTGATTCATACAAGTAAATTTCAAGAAAACCATATACTAGAGAGTTTGTATGACTTTCCTTCTCTATCGGTTGTGACAGTCATTTCAAACCATTCCTCCCTATGAGTGTAGCAGCTGGACCAGAGCTTTCCCCGGGGTATGCGTAATACTGATTGATATTGAAACCTTTGCTATGAGAAATGTGACTTAAAAGATTTGACCCTGCCATAGTCTTTCCTCCACAGAAACAAGGCTACGATTTTGGAGGTCAGGACACATGTGTTCTGAAATTCTGGATGGGGAAATGGGGTGTCTTAAGTATGTTTACAGCAATCGGAAAAGGTTCCATAACTTCCTGGCCTGCCCTCCTAACCTCCCTTTTTTTCTAGCCTAGATTTTGCCTTCCTGATACTCTTTATAACAGTTACTTTGTTGCTATAGTATAATTTTTTGAAGCATTTGCTTATTGTGGTCAATTCATCACATTTTAAGAGAACATGTGGAGTAAGAGTGTATTTTTTTTTAGTAAAAAATACTTCTTGTCACTCAAGAATACTTGCAAAGTTATAATACTGATATTAAAGTCTTGGCTCCTTTTTCTGAAAATCTTAAGAAAACACAAGAGAAAAAGCTCCTCACCTTAGCAGTGTTTGGTATTTTGAGGTATGCCATTTTGGAATTTGCATCCACCGAAAAAGTATCATAGATTTTCCCACTGGGGTCTGAGACAAACATTTGGGGTTGTTGTGCTGTCCACGTGACAAGAAATAGTGTGTCATTGCCTACTGTGCTGTCAACAGTAACTGTGCCATTCAACCATTCCCCATCCTTCAGAGTGGCTCCCTTACTCTCAAGCTGTTAAGAAAACAAAACATTTAGTGAGTGGGTAAAGGAATAAGTCATCCACAAGTCATATCATTCCAATGGGCAAAAGATTATAAATTGCAGAGAAGGAATCAGCATGCATTGGTAGAGGGAGTTTCCTTACCTGGAAGTTCCCTCTAACAATTAAATTAGAGGCCCCTTCCCTATCCCCCTGGTTAAGCATGGGTTAGGAGATAAGATGGTCAAGAAAGGAGACAGGTGTCATGGTTATACAAATGTACATGAATGATATTCCTGGCACAAACAACATGAAAGGCAGGGCTTGAATGAGATCCCTTAGGTTTAGTCTAAGGTAATATTCAAGTTTCATTCATTCAACTCTCCTTCCCTTCTCTTTTCTAATCAATTTCCCTTCTAAATGAAATTCCCTCCATTGTGAGTGGGGAGAGAATAAAACTGTAGTCTCAGGCAGGTCCTTGATTTTGAGTCAGCTTCTCAGCAGTGCAGACAGGCAGGATTTCTGGTGAGTGGAAGGGACATCTTGAGCAAAGGCACAGAGATTTAGAGCAGTCTCTGCCCACCACGAGCTCACATTCTGACTAGGGCTGGGAGCAACATTCAAAAAGAAAAAAAAACTGCATACAAGATACATGCAGTGCAAATGGAATCTAATCTCAGAATGATGGCATGAGCAGATAAAGAATCCAGATTTCTTTCCACTGAACCACCATGCCTTATTGGTCTGGCCTGGCCTGGTCCTGTTTTCCTTTTATTCCTCCCAATTACCTCACTCTCCCACTCACCATAGAGACTCCTCCAAACCTTTTCATCTCTCCTTGAACCTCCCATGGCTCCCTCTCCCTCACTCTCTAATCTCAAAAGCTTACCTCATATTTCACTGAAAAAAAATTGATAACATTTTCTGAGAGTTCCTTTTTTCCTAATCTTCCTTTTCATTTCATGTCTCCCATATGCCTTCTACCACTATCTCTTTCACTCCTGTCTACACGAAGAGGGTGCCCTTCTCTTTACCAGGCAAAACCCTGTCCATGCATGAGAAATCCATTTCTGTCCTGTCTTCTTCAGCAGTTTGTCCCTTCCATCATTCTCACACTCTCATTCATCTTCAATCTCCTTGTCTCATTGGCTCCTTCTCTACTACAAACATACCCATGTCTCCTCCATTCTCAGAAATCTTCATCTGATCTGTCCATCCCCACAAGCTATCATCCCATCCCTCTTCTCACTTTTGCAGCTAAGCTCCTTGAGGAGGCTGTCTACAATAGGTGCTTCTTCTTGCTTTCCTCTCACTCTCTTCTTAAACTCTACAGTCTGGCTCGCAACATTATCACTCAACTGAAACTTCTCTCTCCAAAGTTACTGTAATGATTGCCACTGATTATGCTCTGTCCTGAGACTTTTTCTCTTCTCCCTCTATACCATTTCACTTGGTAATCTCATTAGCTTCCATGGATTCAATTACTGTCTCTTGCTGATGATTCCCAGATCTATTTGTTCAGCCCTGATCTCTCTGCTGACCTCCAGACTTGCATCTTCAGCTGCCTAGTTGATATCTCAAACCGGGTGTCCCGGAGACACTTACACTCAGCATGTCTAAAAATGGACTAGTTATCTTTCCCCCAAAGTTCCCCCTCTTTGTAACTTCTCTATTACTGTGGGGAGCTATACCAGTCACTTCTCCCTGTCACCCAGGCTTACACCTTTGGTGTCATCCTCAATTCCTTCTTCCCTCTTCCCTTCCATAGTTAATCTCTTGTCAATTTTTCCTTTTTAATATCTCCGCACATGATAGGCACTTAATAAATGGTTATTAAATTTAAATCTAATACGCCCTGGAGAAACGAAGCTACTCAGTTTTGGAACTCCCACCCAAGGGCTGTGATGTCCTGAGTAGTGGAAGCTGCTACACATGGGTAGCCCTAGACATGATGATGCTTCTCTTTGGCCTTTATGTTTCTGCCATACGGCTCACTGTTGAGCACAATGGATGGCACAGGAGGATGGGGGAGACATGGGTGTGTTTGTACTTTATTGCCTCCTTTCCTTCCCAGCTTATAGTGCCTTCATGTCCCCCTTCTATTTTGTGTACTCTGTAAGTGTTTTGCATTAAATATATCTGGTCACGTTGTTTCCCCTGAATAAAATGTAAGCTCATTGCAGGCAGGGCCCATATCATTTTTAATTTGTATCTCCAATGTTTAGGACAGTGCCTGACACATAGTAAGTGCTGAATAAATGATTGTTGATTGATTATTGATGATAATTGTAAGAAGGTATAGCAAAATAGTAAAAAGGGACATATGCCCTTTTTGTTAAACACATTTGACTTTGACATCCATTTTCATCTTCCTAATCCCTACTTGGGAAATCCCGCCTGTTATGGATTCTTGTTGTTGAGACTTTTCAGTTTTGTCCTGTGCTTTATGACCCCATTCAGGATAATCTTGGCAAAGCTACTGGAGTGGTTTTCCATTTCCTTCTTTCGCTCATTTAAGAGATGAGGAAATTGAGGCAAAAGAGTTAAGTGACTTGCCCAACATCACATAGCTGATGTCTGAGTCCATAGAGCAATCTTTTTTACTTCAGGCCTGCCATTGTATCTACTGTACCACCTAGCTGGCGTGTTATGGATTTTTGGAAAAGATTTAAATGTTGGCCTTGGGCTTGGATTCAAATGACCTTCAAGGTGCTAAAATATTGTGGAATTGTGGAGAAGTCATGATATAGCTAGAGATCCAATAGAGAGTACCAATTGGGTGGTCTTTAATAGTGAGGAAGTTGTAGGTGAGGGGAATAGGGCATGGAAGTATGCAAAGAGTCCACTAGTAATAATGGTGTGCATAAAATTCAGTTTCTTTATCCTCCCAGGTTCTAGAAGGAGCCATTAGGAATGGACAGCTTTCTCAAAGTGGTCTGGGTGAAGAGCTTGTTCCATATATTAGTGGGACAGTTAAAGCATCATGTGAATTAGTATGTTGATGTCCACTGCTTTTTAAAAAAAAATTTAACCAAGCCTGGACAGCCAGTGAAAATGTTCACAATCTGGATGCAGATAGGTGGCACAGGAGATATAGCCCTAGACTTAGAGTCAGAAAGACCTGAATTCAAATTTGGCCAACAATACCTATTAGGCATGTGATCTTGGGCAAGTCACTTAGCCTTTATCTGCCTCAATTTCCTAATCTGTAAAATGGAGCTAATAATAGCACGTACTTCCCAGGTTTGTTGTGAAGATTGAATGACATAGTATTTGCAAATTTGTTCCTAGCACATGGTAGGTATTTAATGAAACTTGCTAAATTTACATATAATTCTGTGTATATACAACATATATATACATATATATCATATATATGTATATATTTATGTATATATATATATATATATATATATATATATATATATATATATATATATGTATGTGTGAGAAACCTTTTATTTATACTGTCAGTTCCCCCTTGATCCTAATATCCCACCCAGCATGGTGCAGTGGAAAGAAAGCTGGATATAGAGTCAGAAGACTAAAGTCCATATCCCATCATGGCCACTCATTACCTGCATGACCTGGACAAGTCCATCATCCTCAGCGTTCACACCTATATAATTCATGGTTTAGACTGGCTGACTCTGAAGTTCCTTCCAACCTTATACCTCTGATGCATGCTTTTATGAACCTCAGAGGTCCTTTGAAACTCTAAATTTTCTGACCCTAGAATGTCATGATCCTATATAGTGAAAACATATGAAAGGAGAAATAGAAACTGACCTGGACAGACCGTTGAGTGATCAGTCCATTTGCTGATGAGAGGGCACTGAATGCATCAATGAGCCCATTGTTCTGGACATTGTCTGTAGCAGCTGTCTGCACACCTCCTAAAGTAGGATCATATCAACAGAAATTAAATAATTGGCACAGGATAGTGACAAATTAATAGTCTTACCAAAGTTATTTTTTCATGAAGTTTTATGTTCTTTCATAACCTGCAGCCATTCTACAGCTAGTAGGAATACAACCTCAGCATAGGAGTTAAAGGTAAAATTTTACAGGCTTGTGGTATATAAAGTATATATTATACAATCATTAAAGTCTCACTTACCTAGAACACGACCAAGGCCCTAGGAAGAGATAAAAATGCTCATAAGGACTCAAATAAGTGTCACAGAATTTATGATCTAAACCAGTTCATTTAATTCATTTATAATTGACCTTCTTGGATCCTCACTACTTCAAGGATCCATCAGTTCAGCTGTTCAGGGGCTCTTGGAACACAGTAGGCATTTAATGTTTATTGCCTGATCTTCCAGAGCCTGTGCCCCACTTCCACAGCCTTCAGAAACCCTAGGTCACGTGTACTTGTTCACCCATAGATCTCAGTGAAGAATGTGAGGGAGGTTCATATAGAAATAAGTTTTGTGCCTATTGAAGAAACATATGCTCCAGGTTATCATTTACCTGTCATCTTTGACAGCTTCTCCAGATCTATGGCTGCAGATGGTCCCAGAGCAACTGTGTGGATGATGGCCCCACTTTGCTTCACTACATCAAAACATGTGCTGAGTGTATTGTCTTCTCCATCAGTCAGAAGGACAATTTCTGAACCATCTGTTGAGAATTTCTTTCCTATTACCTAAAAGCACAGATTCATCTGAGACCTTGGTAAGCAGACTTAGTTGTACCAGCTAACCCTGAATGAGTGGGTCTGGCCAGGAATGAAAGAAGAAAATAAAGGAAAGACCCCAGGAACCCCAGGAGGATTTTCCTGTCTTGAGATTTTCAAATACGAGACGTGCAACTTTCAGAAACTCAGCCCAAGACCTTTTTCTCTTGATCTAATGCAGGAAATTTGTCACAGCTGATGCTGCCATTTGGAAGCAGGGCTGTTCTGGTGAAACCGAGTGACCCAGCATCTGTACACTGGTATTCACTCCAGCCAGGGTATCTGTTCTTTGTGGCTCTAGCACACATGGAGGCTGAGGAGATTGGACAGATGAACACCCACTATGTGCATGGAATTGTTTCTGATTCTTTTGTTATTCCTGGGAGGGCCAGAGAGGAGGAAGCTTAGGAACCTTAGAGGAGACATGATATGGTGGGAAGAGTCTGAGGCCCTGTGGGTCTCAGTTTCCTTATCTGCAAAAGGAAGATACAGGTGGCCTGTGAGGTCTCCTCTAGCTCCAACTCTGTGCTCCTGTGCTTCCTCTCACCTGCTTTATTTGGCTAATCCCCTTCATAATAGAGAGTGTTCTCCAACACAGGCTTTGGGAAACCATGCTCTACATGAGCTGCCAAACTGGACACTCAGAAGCAAAGGCATGACTACTAGCACTCAGTTCAGGGATTAGGATGGGAATCGTGGGGTAGGACCTCCCTCCACTAAACCAGATGACAAGCCTTAGGAAGTTGTCTGAGATACTTTGATTTTCAATGACTTCTGCAGGGTCACACTTAAAACTTTGAGTAGCAGAAGTTGAGATCTGGCCTTTCTCAATATTCTATCTGTGAACCAAAACTGGCTTTACAGGAAATATTATATTGCAATACCAATGGATCTGAATTCCATCTATGTGAATATCCCCTCCATGATGCAAATCACAACCCATCCTGTCTATATCACAGGAAGGTAGGGCAGTGGAGAGAGTTGGGATTAAATTCAAATCTGACCATCCTAGTTGTGTGATGCTGGGCAAGTCAAGTAACCTCAGCCTGCCTCAGTTTCTTCATCTGTAAAATATAGCTAATACACCTTCTTCCCAGGGCTATTGTGAGAATCAAATGAGATAATATTTGTGAAATGCTTAGCACAGTGCCTGGCACTTAAGAAATGCTCATTACCTTAACTACCTGTATGACTCTTGTCTATATTCTTCTACTTGTTTACCACAAGGGAGCCATTCAATGTGCTAGGGGCCTTCCTTGAGTTCCTGGACATTGGAATGATGCCAGTGGAGCACAAGGGCTGCTACCCCTAACTGTACCTGTGTGACCAGGACATTTGATTATAATAATGATTGGCATTTATAGTGCTTTCAAGTGTGCAAAGCACTTTATGTACAATCTCATCTGAGTTTCCCATTTATGATATGAGGCAGGTACTAGTACTAGGGTACTAATATCTCCATTTTACAAGTTAGGAAATTGATGCTCAGGGTGGTTGACTGACTTGCCTGCAGTCATTATGGGGTCAGAAACAGAGTTGAGCACAGGTTTCCCACACACTGAGACCGACACTCTATTCACTACGCTCGTTGCCTCTTCTGGGGAATATCATGCCATAGAAAACAATGTATGTATTAGACCCAAGTACTTAATTTCTGTCATAGTGGCTCTACTCTAGATGTGTCCACTGTTTGAAATTGCTCCATGTAAAAAAACCCTCAGATTTGAAGATTTTTTGTGTAACTATGATCTCATGTATTTCCACATGTCACTCACAGTCACTCCTCCTAACCTTGATCTTTTTCTGTGCTATGTCCTCTGATCTCTTAATCCCTGTCTGACTCCCCTATCCAATGCTCAGCAATCTCTTGCCCCTTTGGCCTTCCACTGTCATCATCCTTTTACTTGCCAACACTGAGTAACTCAACGTTTCTGCTCCAGCTCCTCTGCAATGGAGGACTGGGACAGACAGCCCTGAGACAGTGGTCCCCCTAGGAACACTTGCCACATGCACTTCAACCAGACTTCTACTATGCTTGTTGCAATTACTCTTTCTTGATTCTCTACCATATCCCTCACAGCATCTGTTCTAACCATTTTCCCAACTCTTTGAGACCCCAGCTTCTCATCCATATCTCTCAACTACCAGCACATGACATCATCTCTTCCTTTGCAGAAAACGTTGAAGCCATCTGGCATGTTTTCTGGTCTTTCACCCATGTCCTTCCTCCTGTATAAGAGGAAACTGCAGTGCTGTCATGTCAAAGCCAATGTCTCCTCAATGACCTGGATGCCTTCCCTTTCCTTTCCTCCAGGACCTTGTTCCATTGACCCTCTTTCCTTCTGTATCACTCAAGTTCCTATGATCAGGGTTCCATCTGTTCTTCTGTATTGAAGTTTGCATCTATAATATCATCCATGACCTCTTAGTCCTCATTCTTCTTGATCTTTATCCCATTCTTTCTATTTATAAATTACTTACTATACAAATATATACTACATTTACTATAGAAATACCATATATGGTATGTCCAATTCCCACCCACTAAGATACCTTTTGTTTCTTTCAGCTCCCTCATTGGTAAAATGAGGCAGCTGGGCCACAGGATGACTAAGATAATTCTATAATTTTATTTCATATCAAGGGCAACAATCTTTAGACAGAATTAGTGCATCAAAATGTGGAAAACCCTCCATAATGGTAGTCAAAACATCAATTCATCACTCTTTGTCTGTGTTATAACAACCCCCTACTGGATGACTAACAGCTCCTTATCTCATTGTGTTAAAATGAATCAACAGAAATATCTGGCTTTCCCAGAATGGAGCCCAGATTAAAGATCATTATACCTGGTTGCCCTGCATGCTTCTGCTGCATATCATGCCCCTTTTTATATATTATTAACAGTGCCTTTCGCATTGGTTTTATAATTGCACAGCCTGTATGGGTTAGAGTACTACAGATTTAGAGCTAGAAGGGACCTCAAAAGTCATCAACTCTACTCTGCTTTTTCTACAGATGAGGAAACTGAAGGCTGCACAAATAAATTGTCCTGCCCAGGGTCACACAGCTAATAAGTTTCTGAGGAAGAATTTGAACTTGGTTCTTTCTGACTCTGCATTGATAGTTCTAGCCACAGTTACTTTTTTGCCTCTCAGGAGGGATTTGAGCCCAAGTCTCCCTGAGTCTAAGGTTGACTTCCTACCTTCCTTTCTTCCTTAGTTCAACACTAAGTGCTTACTATTCGTTGGGCTAAATTTAATTAGGATTTCTCCACATCTCCATGTCTTGATATCCCTTACCCTCCCTGGAAATACATTCACTTTTTAGAGGCATCAGATTTGTACTAGACAGTAGGCAAGTGAAGGTCATCCAAAATAGAAATTCACTTTCAAAATATCCACTACAATAGAGACAGTGGAGGGGAGACGATTTCACCTGAAATGCTGATCTGAGTCCAGAGCAGATGGATGTTCCTCCTGAAGCGAAAGCAGGTAACTTGGTAATGAGGGTATTCCTCTGAGCATCTGTCTCTATCTGTACCAGTTCACTTTTTGGACAGAGGCTGCACTGTGAAATGTGACCATCCCAACCCAGGATCCACGTTCAATGATCTGAAGCAGGAAATGTTTGGAGGCTTGATTCAGGCGATTTAGCCGGTTCTCACTCTGCATGAAAAACACAAGTCCAATTGGTAAGTGGTCTTCTGCAAGCAAGCTATAGCAGGATGGACTAAGGCCATATATGGAACTCTAGGGGCTCTAAGTCCCATGGTGGACACTCTGGATTCTCCATGATTAGGAAATAGAAAACAAGATCTGGAGTATTCTTCTAGGCTAGAAAGGATTTGAGAATGGGCTTGGAGATGGGCTACATGTTTGCTACCTGAGGACAAGGCCACTTAAATTTGGAGAGGCACATTGCGAGGTGACCATAGGTACAGTGCATGTTTCAGCTGTAGTAACTCTGCAAGCTCAAGTGGTAGAAGGGTTTTTCTGAACATTGGTGGACCCATGTTAACAGATTCTGAAAGCACTGAAGTATGGTATTTTAAGTAGGAGCATGGTTGTGAATGAGTTGGTGTTGGTCTTAGTAGATGAAAGAAGTTGTGTGAAATATTTTTGCCTTTTAATTTGAGCCACATCACCAGAGATGAGTTACTATGTAGGATAGACTTGACCTGTGATTTCAATGGTGCAGGTACTCCCAAATGAGGAAAATCTCTCTACTGGGGTAGGGTGGCACCTTCTCTGCAAATTATTGTTTCAGGGAATTTCCTAAGCAGTATATGTGAGATGTGGGAACTGAAACCAGATCCTCCTGACTCAGAAGTTAACTTTCCATCCACTTATACCAAATTGTCTCTTTTTTGTTTGTTTGTTTGGGCTAGGCAATGGGGTTAAGTGACTTGCCCAGGGTTACACAGCTAGTAAGTGTTATGTGTCTGAGGCCAGATTTGAACTTGGGTCCTCCTGAATTCAGGGCCAGTGCTCTATCCACTGTGCCACATAGTTGCCCCCAGATTGTCTCTTACTGAATTATTTGCAAACAAGGAACTAATAAACTTTTATGATGGGACTACTAAGCCATTTTGATCAGTGGTGCATGGCAGAGTAGAGTAGAGAATGCCCATATTAATGAAGTTGCTGGTCTTTTAAAGTATAGAATCTGGTCTGCATTTTTAGATAGGATGTTTGATGACTTTGTACAATCATGAAGAAAGGAGGAAAATATGATGTCATGCAAAGTTGATTGGGTCGTTCAGTTAACAGGGACTACAGATTCTCATGGGCTGGGAAGTGAAATGTAGAGCAAATTCTTAGTTTATTCACTCTTTGACAAAGTATCATCTTGATACAGGGGATAATTCATCATGAATCTTTACTGGAGAAAGAGGAGGAGTGGGAGTATGAGTATGAGAGGGGAACCTTGGTGAAGGGTGAGGGATTCCCTGCTCTTCGTTTCCTTTAAACCATGAGATCAATGTGGTTTCCAACAAGCCCAAGATTCTGTGGGTCCATCAGGTGCTGTCAAGACACCCCTCCCACCTCCAGGAGAATGGGGCAGGTTTGGCTTACCGCCATGCTTCCAGACTTATCCAGAACTAGGCACAGGATCCTTTCTCGGATCTGTTTCAGCGAGAAGGTGGGCTGGGGTGGCTGTGCTGCTGTCATCGGAGTGGAAGCCTTGTAGTCTTCAGAATCTTGGATCACTTCCCATGTGCTCCTGAGGCTGCACTTCTGGTTTTGAGCATTTGGAGCATTTGTTATGGTTCTTTTCTGTACAAAATTCAACCACCTGAAAAAGCCCAATTGCATGACAAATATGAAAACTAAGAACCAGGGCTTCCTAACCTGGGTCTGTGACTAGTTTTGAAAAGACATTTTATACTTTCTAAATAATGGTTTTGTTTGTCATCTGATTATTTATTTTGTGCATTAAAACTTGATTATGTAAAGGGTTCCAAAAGCTGCACCAGTGTATTGATTGGTCCATGACACAAAAGCAACCCTATGATGATTAGGGGGGGAAGTAACTCATTTGAAAACTCCTCAACAGTCCAGGGATTCTAGACCTGCCCCTTCCACTGTCTTGGCTCAGTAATTTAACCTTAGTTTCCTCACCTGCAAAGTGAAGACATTGGAGTAGATAAGTAGGTTCTGGGACTCTTTTACACTACAAAATAATTGAGGACCCTTCCCCTGAGAGCTTGTGTTTATGTTTGTTTTACCTATTTATATTTACCACATTAGAAAATAAAATGCCTTAGTATCATCATGAAACAGTTTTGACCTAACAGACCCCCGAAATGGTCTCTGGGACTGCATCTTGAATGTGCTTGATCCAACCTAAGGGCTGTGAAGAGCAGTAGTTGAATTTTCAGCATGAGCTTTTCCACGTCAGGTATCAGCAAATACTACAAATTAGAGCTTGGCTTGTTTTTTCATTGAGTATCTACAGGTGACAGATTGACAGCCCATGCACTTGGAAACCAGATAGGGAAATATTTAACAAAATAAATAAAAAAAATAAAATGTGGATAAGATTACATTTTAAAACAAGTCATTATCCAGGTAAAGGGATCCTTCTGCATGGATCAATGGGCTCATTTCTATTTCAGTTTGACACACTGGTATAGACTTAAGAAAGTGAAGAGATAATGTTAACAATGCCGCTATCACTTACAATGTGTCTTGCATATATTTTTTTTTCAGTCACTAGTTAAACATTTACCAGCCTACGTTTGCCCACATCGTTTCCCAGTACATAAATGGTGAAATTGACTGATTGGGTTCCAGATCCTCTTCCACTTAGACTTTTCTCTGAGTCTAGGATTCTGATTTTGATTTGAGTATGAGCACTTACAAGGGGAAGAGACAATGACTGAAAGCTAGCAGGGGCTCCTGAAGAAGCAGTCATGTCAGACTGACCTTGATTCTGTTTATCACCAACTCACTAGACAGAGACATCATGGCAACATCTGAGGCATCTGGATTTCAGCAAAATGTTTGACTGAGTATCTTTGTGAACATGTTGAAAAATTGTAGAAAAAAATAATATAGCTAATTGGGTTCAGCCTTGGTTGACTGACTCCAGAAGTGGTAATTCATGTAGTAATACAAAGGTATCAGTATGGCAGGCTACGTTTAGTGGAATGGCACAAGGACATTTCCTTGGCCCTGTGCTGTTCTATTTGTTTACCTAATTTTTAATCTAATTTTAAAATGAGTTTTAAGTGACTTGAATGAAGGCATAAAGAGCATCTGTGTCTGCTTTTCAGATGTTGCAAAACTGGGTGGGATAGCTAAGACACTGGGCTTCAAGTTCCCTAAAAACCTCACTAGGCTGGAATAGGAAGCGAGGTAAAGACCATAAGGTGAGGAGAAGTGGGAGTCCTTTAGGTGGGTTCAAGAATCACAAGTACCGAATGGGGAAATTTGTCTAGAAAGGAGTTCATGAGGGCGAGAAATGATTAAGGCACCTTTTAGATGTCAGGCACAGTACTAAGTATTTTTACAATTATTATCTCATTTGATCCTTATAACAATCCTGGGAGATAGGTGTTATTATTATCCCCATTTTACATACAGGTCAACTAAGGCAGGCGGAGGCTAAGCAAGTTACCCTGGGTCACACAGCTTGAAAGTGTCTGAGGCTGGATTTGAACTCACATTTTTCTGACTCTAGGCCCAGTACACCAACTTACTGCCTCAATGAAAAAAAATCCTGGTGTTTATAGTGAACTGCACCCTCAGCATGAGGAGTCTGGAAGAGAGGCAGCAGTAGAAAGAGTGCTGGCTTTGTATTTAGAGATCCTGAGTTCAAATTCTGGTTCTGCCATTTGTTACTGTGTGACCTGAGTCACTTACCTCTCTGAATCTCACTTAGTCATGTGCAAAGTGAACTAGAAGGCCTCTAAAATAATGGCCAGTCGTAAACCCATGATCCCATGCATAGTCTGATGTAAGCCCCCAAAGTAAATGTATCCCAGGCTGCATTAATATACATAGAGTTTCCAAAGGATGAGAGTGCCCTTCTTCACTGGCCTGGTCCCACCACACCTGAAGTACTGAGTCTCGTTCTGGGGATGACGTTGTAGATGGGACAGTGTCCACCTGGAAAGTATACATAGGGAGATGACCAGAACTGTGGGGAGGCTCTGAACTATGCCACCATGTGAAGACAGGTAGAAGGAGTGGAGGAAAACCAGCCTGAAGAAGAGAAGGCTCTAAGGAACATGATAGCTTTCTACAAATATTTTAAGTGATATAAATGGAAAAGATGTTAGACTTGTTATTGAGCCTGGTTAGATGGTTGTGTGTGTGTGTATATGTGTGTGGGTACAGAATTAGGACCAATGGCTATAAGTTACAGAAAGTCAGGTTTTAGCTCTATGTGAAGAGAAACTTATTTAGAGTTAGCTTTCCAGAAATGGAATTGGGTATTTCCCAGAGATGATAAACACCTCATTACTCAGTGGAAGACTTCCTATTGCTGGACATCTTTATCTAGACAAACAAACTGTCACAGATATTGTGGATGAGATTCGTGCCGTGGTCAGAGTTTGGGTAGGACCACATTTGAGCATACAAACCCCTGAATACTATGTTGTTCCAGTGGTATTTGCTGAGCACTGTTGCAGCTTCATGGACTTGGCTATTGCCAGAGAGAATGGTTAGTGGCAGTGGAAGTTGTCCAGGTCAGGTAGCTTTGGACCATATAGAAGGGTGGGGTCAGCCTAACACAGATGGGCACAGTGCCCGCAGTTAACTCTGTTTTCACAGGAACTTCTGTTTCTGCCCCTCCTTGCTGGATTCCAGCAGGAATGGAGTGTTCTGTCAGCACCAGAGACTTCATTCAGTTCAGTCTCTTAGAGGCTCTTGTGCTTGAAGAGAACAAGTGACCCTTTATTAGATGCAGTGAGGAGACAGAAGTGCCATACATGGAAGCACAGATCATGTGTTTGCCATATTTTTCATTGAGTCAAAATTGGGAGGGAAGACTAATCCATAGGATTACAGAGCTAGGGTCCAAAAGTTCTCAGCAGGCCCCTTGAATTACTCAGCTAAAAGCAACTGTTTTACAGCATATTAAATGCTTATTGTGTGCCTAGCCAAAAAAGGAACTAACTTTGACAATCCCATGAGAAAGTAGGTGTTTGATGAGTGTTTCTTGAATTGAATTAAATTAAATTAAATTAAATTAAAACAACTCAAATGGAGCACAGCCATGTACCATAGTGGATACATCATTGGGCCTATAGTCAGGAAGACCTGAATTCAAATCCCAACTCAGATGTTTACTAGTGACCCTGGACAAGTCACTTAACTTCTGTCACTCTCAGTTTCCTCATCTATAAAATGGGGATAATATGAGCTACCTTCTGGGGTTTTTGGAGGATAAAAATGAGCTAATATTTATAAAATGCTTTGGAGGTCTTAAAGCAATGTATAAATCTATAATGATTATTACCATAATTTTTGAAACTTTTTGCCATTCCCTAAGGATAGGATTATGAAGTAATGGAATAGCTCCTGGACATTTTACCTGAAAATATTTTCAAATTCCATTATATCTCTGTGCAACTATTGTGACTTGTTTACTGGGATATTTTTATGTTATTCAGTGACATGTCCCTGTTATTTCATCCTCTCTGGACCAAAGGGGGAATACAATTTTACAGAAAATCGTTTGGTTTCTCAGTGATGAAGGGCTCCCTCTTAAGCCACATTGTTGCTCTTCTTTTTTTCAGGTTCTATGTGCAATTGGCTGCTTTTTTATATTTAACACCAAGATAAAGAATTAGGTCAAGGTCACTCCTGAAAAGCAAGAAAGCTGGAAAAAAACCAGTTTAGGAACATATATGTGTGTGTGTGTGTGTGTGTGTGTGTGTGTATGTACATATATACATATACATACATATATTATTTCTAGCAAGATTTTTGAGAAATGTTTGACAATGAAGGGCCAATTCAGTGAGGCACCATCTACCTTCCTGAAAGCTTAGCTTTGTTGTTCAGTCACTCAGTTGTGTCTGACTCTTTGTGACTCCATGGACCATAGAATGCCATACCCTTCTATCCTCCACTATTTCTTGACATTTATCCAAATTCATGTTTGTTTCAATCACACTATCCATCCCATCCTCTGCCATCATTTTGCCTTTTGCTTTCAATCTTTCCCAACATCAGGATCTTTCCAATGAGTCCTGCCATCTTCTCATTATATAATCAAAGTATTTACACTTCAGGTTCAGTATTTGACCTTCCAGTGAACAGCCTGAGTTGATTTCTTTAAATATTGACTGATTTGATCTCATTGCTGCCCAAGAGTCTCTCAAAAGTCCTCCAGCACCACAATTCAAATGTGTTGATTCTGTGGTGCTCAGCTTTCCTTATACCATACACTGCTATTGGAAAAACCATAGCTCTAACTGTATGGATCTTGTCAGCAAGGTTATGTCTGTCCTTGTTAGTATGATGTTCAGATTTGCCATGGATTTCCTTCCAAGGAGCAAGCATCTTTTAATTTCATGGCCGCAGTCACCATCTGCAGTGATCTTTGAGCCCAGGAATATGTAATCTGACATTGCTTCCATTTCTTCTCTCTCTGTGTGCCAGAAAGTGATGGCACAAGTTGCCAAGATCTTAGATTTTTTTTTTGATGGTAAACTTCAAGCCAGCTTTTACACTCTCTTCCTTTACGCTCATAAGGGTGTCTGTAAGTCTTCTTCTCTTTCTGCCATTAGAGTGGCATCATCTACAATCTGAGATTGTTGATACTTCTCCTGGCATCATCAATTCCAGTGCCAGATTCATCCAGCTTGGTATTTCACATGATGTACTCCACATATAATTTAAATAAATCAGGTGACAATATACAGGCTTGTTGAACTCCCTTTCCAATCTTAACCCATCAGTTGTTCGATGTTCGGTTCTATTGCTTCTTGACCCACAAACAGGTTCCTTGAGAGACGAATAAGATGATCTGAGATGTCTGTCTGAGGACTTGCCACATTTTGTTGTGATCCACACAGTCAAAGGGTGTAGTGTAGTCAATGAAGCAGGAGGACACGTTTTTCTACAATTCCTTTGCTTTCTCCATAATCCAGTAAGTTTTGACAGTTTGGCCTGTAGTTTCTATGCCTCTTCGAAAACTAGTGTGCTCTTCTTCTCATTCTTGATTCAGATATTGCTGAAGCATAGCTTGGCAGAATCTTAAGCATTACCTTGCTGGTGTGTGAAATGAGCACAATTATTCGGTAATTTGAACATTCCTTGGCATTGTTCTCCTGTAGGATTGGGATGTAAACTGATCTTTTCCAATTCAGTGTTCACTGTCGAGTTTTAAAAATTTGCTGGCATATTGAGTGCAGCACTTTAACAGCATCATCTTTTAGGATTTTAAATGACTCAGCTGGAATTCTATCACCTCCACTAGTCTTATTGTTAGCAATACTTCTGAAAGCCCTCTTGACTTCATTCTCCAAGATGTCTGGTGCTAGATCAGTAACTACACCAATGTGGTTATTGGTGATGTTAAGATTTTTCTTGCATAGTTCTTTTGTATATTCTTGCCACTTCTTAATCTCTTCTGATTCTATCAAGTACATACATTTTGTCTTCTTAATGTCCATTTGTGCATGAAATATTCCCTTGATATTTCTAAGTTTCTTTTGAAGAAATCTCTTGTCTTTCCCATTCTATTATTTCTATTTCTTTGCATTGCTCATTTAAGAGAACCTTATTATTTCTTTTGCTCTTATCTCGAATTCTGCATTCGGCTGGCTATATCTTCACCTTTCTACTTTGCCTTCCCTTTCCTTCTTTCCTTAGATACTTGTAAAACCTAGTCAGACAGCCAGAAAGCAGAAACCATAGCTTAGTCTGCCTTTTTCCCCTAAATGGGAAGGCAGTACTTCTGTCAGTCAGTCAATAAGCATTTGGCCTCTGAGCTAAAATGCTGAAATTACTGAGATTTATAAGACTACTTTAAACTTATTTATAGTGTGAATAATTTTCAAAAGGCTAGACTCTTTAGACAATTATAAAGAGATAGGATAATGTTTAACAGAAAGTTAAACATTAAAAAAGAGCTATTGAGATTCAAGACAGTTTCAGAGGATTTATGACAAAAAGTGCTATCCACTTCCAGAGGAAAAAAAACTGATGGAGTCTGAATGCAGATCAAAGAATCTTTTTTTAAAAAAAACTTTCTTTATTGGAGGTTTGTCTGTTTTCCTTTGTAATATGGCTAATATGGAAATATGTTTTGCATGATTGTACATGTATAATCTATAGCAATTGCTTGTCTTCTCAAAGAGGGGAAGGGGAAGGGGAGAATTTGGAACTCAAAAAAATTTTCTAAATGAGTGTTAGAAATCATTTTTATATGTAATTGATCAAAAAGAACTATGCAGGATATCATGACCCTTTATCTTCTCTAACCTTCAAGAAAGTATTCACTCTCAAAGCCCCAAATTTGCTTGTTTATTTTAAGGATTTCAGGGTATTTAATTTCAAGATCTTAAATTAAAAGAGAATGTCCAGAGTGTATTGGGGGAGGGGGAAATAAGAGGATTGGAGAAATGATGGTGGTATTCTCTTTTATTCTCATGATTTTGTATCCTCAGCCTTCCCTTTTAGAGAAATAATGGCTCAGTGAGGGTCTGCCTAGCCTAAGGGGCCTGCCTTAGGTTATCTGGATAGGTGTTCTGATAGAGAGACTGGGGTAAGGAAAGGGCCCTGAGCTAGCAGAGGGAGCAGGCATCACTCACTTCATTTCTCCAAGTCTCCATTTCCTCATGTGTAAAATAGGAATGAAGGTTATGGCAAATGAGGTCATTCTAAGCATCAGATAAGAAGGTAGAGGCAAAGTGTCTTGTAAACGTTAACCCTAAATAAATGTCAGCTCTTAAGGTTAGAACAGACCCTGTTTCTTCTTTTTACAGACTTCAGAACGAATAATCCAAATACTTACAGAATTGATGCTTTGCATGAACATGATGGAGGCTTTCTCAGTCTGAACTTTGTCAGGTAAGAAAATACAGTCTTTGTCAAACTTTCCTGTTTTGGGATCTGTTGTGCATGATGTGACTGAACAGCTGCCTCCAGAACATGTATATGCCTTATTTGCACCAGTGATACCTTCAGAACATCTGAAAATATATTAGGATTAGACTTTAAGAACGTCAGTTTGTACATACCACCCCAACCTATGTATATCCCTGATGTGATTACATGAGGGATTCTTCATCACCGAATGTGTTTGTCAAGCAACCCATTTATGCAGCAAAGTCTCAGGCAGCCAGGAAGAACAATTTATGTTTGGCAGGGAACTCCTTCAGGGAATTTCAGATGGGCTTCTTGGAATATCACAATCCTAGCCTGTCTGCAAGAAGTACCAGGTCAGGTTTACTGGTGTCTCTGACTGTGCTGCTCACAGGGATGGACTCCAGTCTCCTCACTGTCAACCTCATGAGAATTAAAAGGAACTCTTCCTCATTCTTAGCAACTATAGAAGTTGCTCAGTGTTGTTATCACCACTAACATGTGAGGCAGCTCAAGGTTTTTTTTATCTGTATTCCTAAGAATGCAATTTGTTTTTCATTGACTTCTTTCACAAGGTTTAATTCACTCATTAGATCAAAAGTTCTCAACAAAGCACCTCTCAGAGCTCTCTGGCCCGGGCAAGCATGGAGAGGAAATAAGGGTACCACAAAGACTCATGTCCCTCCCAATACCTTGCATTTATTTCACATCTATTTTGTGGATATATGTATATAAGTACAGGTTATTTCCCCTAAGGTCTTTGATGTTATATTTTTTTATTTTTGGTTAGGCAATGGGGTTAAGTGCCTTGGACAGGGTCACACAGCTAGTAATGTTATGTGTCTGAGGCTGGATTTGAACTCAGGTCCTTCTGAATCCAGGGCCTGTGCTGTATCCACTGCTCCACCTGGCTGCACTTCCCACCCATCCCAAGGTCTTTGAGAGCAGAGGCTTTCACTCTTCCCTTTGAATCCCCAGGACCTAGGACAGCACCTAGCACACCCCACACACAGGTATTTCATCAATGCTTGTGGATTGACTGAAGCTAAAACTTTTGTGAACCCAAGAGGGAGAGCAATGTGGGTTTCCTGCAGAGACAAGAAGAGAGCAAGTGTAGCCTGCATAAGGAAGGATACTGGCACTTTCCTTCCTTGAGAGGTGTAATTACCCACTGTGAAAGTGAAAAGTAATAGAAAGTTGCTTGTGGTTCCTCCTAAAATCATTCAATACCTTGATTGTGTATGAAGAGAAAGAGGAAAAGGACCAGGTAGGTCCTTTGGTACAGTGAGGGTATGGTATTCCAACATTTGGGGGGCTTCTACTGTCTCTGTCTGTCAGTGTGTACTGCTGATGTCCTGAGGAGGCAGCAGGGACATGTGCTAGGTCTATCTCTGTAGGGGTGGCTTGTATCTAACACCATGTTTGCAAGTGTCTCTGTTCCAGACATATACAGCAACACCGAAGAGTTGGTCTGTCATGATTTTGTGCCTCAGATTCAGAAAAAATTTCTGTGCTTTGATATAACTACCTCTGCTTTGAAGTATGCTGGGGTAGGAACCTGTCACATATTATATAAAAAAAGGTTATAATGAAATTGATGATACATACAATATTGTTGTAGTCTACAGTCGAAAGAAAACAATCTTGATAATTGAAATATTTTTGAAAATTAACTCAAGAAAAGATAATTTAAATCTCATGTAGTTCACAAAAAAAGTTAAAAGAAGATATTCATACTTTACTGGTACATTTTTTCCATTAGACTGGTAGAAAGGCTCGGCTTCATTGTATTCCTCAAATACTCCCCACCGCAAATGGGCCCATTCATGAACTAAAATTCTACCTGTGGGAATATATTTGAAATGCAAAAATATGTGGTTATTCCCTCAATTCTATGTGAGTATTCCATTAAAATATTGATAAATATTTTAATTGGATATGTTTTCTAAAAGTGTAGTCTTTAAGATAGAGGCCCAGGCCCCAGGGGAGCCAAAACATTAACCTAAGAAATGACCCTCAGGATTCTAATGTGAGCCCTCTTCTCCCTCTATATTATTTCACTTGGTGATCCATCAAACCCCTAAATTTAATTACCATCTCTTTGCTGATGATTCTCAAATGAACCTATTCTGCCCTAATCTCTCTGCTGACCTCTGGTCTCATGTCTCCAACTGCCTTTCAAATATCTTGAACTGATATGCAGTACACATCATCACCTCAATGTTGCCAAAACTGAACTCATCATCTTTCCCTTTAAACCTCCCCCGCTTCTTCTTCCTATCAGGCTCACACCTAGGTGTCATAGAGGATTTCTCTCTGTGTCTTACTCCCAACATCCAATCTGTTGCCAAGACTCATTGATTTTTCCTTTGAAGCATCTCTTGAATATGGACCCTTCTCCCATGTGATGCTGCCAGTTCTGTGGTGCAGGCCCTCATCACCTCACACCTGGACTATGGCAATAGCCTGCTGGTGGGTCTGCCTGCTTCAATCCCCAGCTCAATCCAACCTCCATTCAGCTACTGGTTTTTTCCCTTTTTTTCTGATAAGGAAGGCAGTAAAAAAACAGAGACCACTAATCTAAAACAATTGCATTTCCAAAGGAGAAGGAAAACTGCTACTCATTCATAGATGAAAAGAAGGAATGTCCCTGCAATGTTTTTGGCTAATCTGCATTTTCAAATCAAGACAACCATATTCTATGTGTACTGTGAAATCTATGCAACAAAATATGCTATGGATATGATGCGTTACTAGACTTTTGTCAATAACTATACCTGGTGGTCCATACTCATCCAACTTTTTCCCTAATGCGACGTTAGGAGTTAGATGAATTCTCTGTCCAATCTCTCCACACTGTCCAAAGTGGTCAGTTCGTGGAACATCATTGCCTGGGGGATTAGGGACTTCAATGATGATGTCTGCCTAGAAATATATTTTTGAATAAACCTTTTTTGTTATGTAGAATGTAAACAAAACTTGTAATTTTTGCACTGAAAGATTTAAGAAAAATAATTGTTAGTAAATGGAATTTTTTAAAAATTAAGGTCACAAAAAGACCTACTGTTTAATAAAAATAAGAGTCTGATGATCTTACATTTTTGTAAGTCTCAAGTCTCGGTTTCTCATAGTCTGGTTTTGTCTGCCATGTCTTAGGAATCAAGATGGATACTGCTTTGAAGTAAAATCTTTTTTCTGTAGCCTTGTATAGGTAAATTGAAGCCTCTGACACAATGTCCTATGTGACAAAAAGAAATATAGAAAGAGGAGATCAATGAGTTGGGTGTGCAACTAAAAAGGTAGAAAAAGAACAAATTAAAAATCCCCAATTAAATACCAAATTAGAAATTCTGAAGACCAAGAAGAAATCAGTGAAATTGAAATTAAGAAAACTATTGACTTAATATAAATACAACTAAGACCTAATTTTACGGGAAAAAAATAGGTAAACCTTTCTTTAATTTCATTAAAAGAAGAAAGAAGAAAACCAAATCACCAGTATCAAAAATAAAGAGAATTCATCACCAAAAAAGAGGAAATTAAAATAATAATTAGGAGGTATTTTGCTCAGTTGTGTGCCAATAAATTTGACAATCTTAGTGAAATGGATGAGTATTTACAAAAAGATAAATTGTCTAGATTAACAGAAGATGAAATAAAATACTTAAATAACTCATTTCAGAAAATGAAATTGAATAAGCCATCAATGAACTCCCTAAGAAAAAATCTCCAGGGTCAGATGGATTTACAAATGAATTCTATTGAACATTTAAACAGTTAGTTGTAATACTATATAAATTATGAGAGAAAATAGGCAAAGGAGTCCTACCAAAATTTTTTTTTGTGATACAAATATGGTGCTGATCCCTAAACCAGAAAGAGCCAGAACGAAGAAAGAGAATTGTAGACCAATTTCCATAATGAAGATAGATGCAAAAATTTTAAATAATATCTTAGCAAAAGGATTACAGTAACTTATCTCAAGTATAATACACTATGACTAGGTAGGATTTATACCAGGAATGCCAGGCTGGTTGTATATTAGGAAAACTATCAGCATAATTGACCATATGAACCACAAAACTAACAGAAATGATATTATCATCTCAATAGATGCAGAAAAAACTTTTGATAAAATACAACACCTATTTCTATTAAGAACACTAAAAAGCATAGGAATAAATGAAGCCTTCTTTAAAATGATAAGTAGTATCTATCTGAGACCCTCAGGAAGCATTATATGTAATGGAGATAAGCTAGAAGAATTTACAGAAAGATCAGGGGTGACACAAGGATGTCTGTTATCACCAGTATTATTCAGTGTTATACGAAAAAATGTTAGCTTTAGCACTGAGAAGAAAGAGAAATTGAAAGAATTAGAAAAGACAAAGAAGATAAAAAAGCTACCTCTCTTTGAAGATAATATGATGGTATACTTAGAGAATCCTAGAGAACCAGGTAAAATAGTATTTGAAATAATAAACAAATTTCACAAAGTTGCAGGACATAAAATAAACCCACACAAATCATCAGCATTTCTATGTATTACTAACAAAGCCCAACATAAGAGATAGAAAAAGAAATTCCATTTAAAGTTATTGTAGACATTGTAAACTATTTGGCAGTCTATCTGCCAAAACAAACCCAGTAACTGTATGAACAAAATTTCAAAACACTTTTCACACCAATAAAGTCAGATTTAAAGAAATGGAAATGTGTCACTTGCTCATAGGTAGGTTGAGATGATATAATAAAAATGACAATTGTACCTAAATTAATTTACTTATTCAGTGCCATACCAATCAAACTACCAAAACATTGTTTTATAGAGCTAGTGAAAATAATAATGAAATTCATCTAGAAGAACAAAAGGTCCAGAATATCAAAGGAATTTAAGAAAAGAAATGCAAGGGAAGGTGGTCTGACCGTAGTGTACAGATCTTAAACAGTATTATAAAGCAGAAATCCTGAAAACTATTTGGTACTGGCTAAGAAATAGCATGGTGGATGAGTGGAATAGATTAAGCACACAAGACACAATAGTCAATGACTATAGTAATCTACTGTTTGATAAATCCAAGGACTCTAGCTTCTGGGATGAGAACTCAGTATTTGACAAAAACTACTGAGAAAACTGGAAAATAGCAAGGCAGAAACTAGGCACAGACCAACTTTTAACATTGTAAACCCAGATAAAGTCAAAATGCATACATGATTTAGAGATAAAGGCTGGTGCTATAAGTAAACCAGGAGAACAAGGAATAGTTTACCTGAGGGATTTATGGAGAATGGAATAATTTATGACCAAAGAAAAGATAGAGAACATTATGTAATGCAAAATGGATGATTTTGATTACATTAAATTGAAAAGTTTTTGCACAAATATAGCCAAAGCAACCAAGATTAGAAGGGAAGCAGAAAGCTAGGAAAGAATTTTTAGAACCAATGTCTCTGATAAAGGCCTCATTTCTAAAATGGATAGAGAACTGTGTCAAATGTATAAGAATACAAGTCATTCCCTAGTTGATAAATGGTCAAAAGATATAAACAGGCAGTTTTCAGGGGAAGAAATTAAAATTATCTATAGTTATATGAAAAAGTACTCTAAATCACTATTGATTAGAGAAATGCAAATCAAAATGACTCTGAGGTACCACATCACACCTATCAGCTTGGTTAACATGACAAAACAGGAAAATGAGAAATGCTGGAGAGGATGTGGGAAAATTGGAACCTAATGCATTCTTAGTGGAATTGTGAACTGATCCAACCATTCTGGAGAGCAACTTGGAGCTATGCCAAAAGGAATATAAAATTGTAGATCATCTTTCACCCAGCAATACCACTTCTAGGTCTGTATCCCAAAGAGATCATAAAAGCTGGAAAGAGCCACGTATATAAAAATATTTATAGCAGCTCTTTCTGGGCTGCCCATCAATTGAGGAATGGCTGAACAAGTAGTGGTATATGAATGTAATGGGATACTATTGTGCTTTAAGAAATGATGAACAGGCTAACTTCAGAAAAACCTGGGAAGACTTATATGACCTGATGCTGAGTGAAAAGAACAGAACCAGGAGAACATTCTACACAGTAACAACAACATTGTATGATGAATAGCTTTGATAGACTTAACTCTACTCAGCAATGCAAGGATCTAAGACAACTCCAAAATACTCATGATGGAAAATGCTATCCACACTCAGACAAAGAACTACAAAGTCGGAATGTAGATGGAAGCCTACTATTTAGTCTGTTTTTGTTGGTTTGTTTCTTCTTTCCCGTGCTTTCTCCCATTGGTTCAAATTCTTCTTTACAACATGACTAATGTGAAAATATGTTCAATATGAATGTATATGTAGATCCTATATCAGGTTGCACATCATCTTGAGGAGGGAGGGGGAGAAAATTTAAAACTCAAAACCTTATGAAAGTGAATGTTGAAAACTGAAAATAAATAAATTTTTTTTTAAAAAAGAAATCTATCAGGAATCCTGACAGCTGTCAGTGGGATAAACAACCAATCATTTAATTTCACAATGAAGATTGCTAGTATAAAAAGATTACAGTATTTTAATTAAGTCAAAATGGAGACATGTCAATATACTTGTATTGGAGTGGGAGTCAGGTGTTCTGGGTTAAAGGGTCAGGCCTGCCTTCCCCAAAGCCCCATAAAAGCTGTAATTTAGAACAAGACATTTAAACAGCTTCTCAGTGCCTTCACTTGTGGAATAAGAGTAAATTTTCCTCTTTGCATTAAATTAAATAACTTTTCAGTGAGAATAGACTAATTGGGATGCTTTAAGAGTCTTTGCTAAAGTTTCTTCAGTCTTTATCATAAAACTTGGTGAATTTGTAAGTCAGTTTCAAACCATCCAGGTTTTAAATGTCTAGTTGGTCCTGACATTTTTTCTGCCCATCCTTAGAATCACTAAGGGACTTTGCTGTCAACAGGACACAATTCAATTAAACTCAGTTTGACAAATAGCTTTTAAGTACCTAATATTGCAAAACACCACTGGGGATAGAAAGATGGCTACATCAGACTGTTATTTAGGAGTTTTCAGGTCTGGAGGTGGTGAGGGGAGGGGAAGGAGAGCCATATATGCAAAGAGTTATCATACAAGGAGAAAGGTGATAAATGCAAGGAGATACCCAATGTACTTGGAGAAATGTAAGGCCTGCCTTCTTCCAGCTGGGGCTTCATGGAGGAAATGACACTTGGCTGTGTGACCCTTCACAAATCATGTAACCTCTCAGTCCTAGCTGCTTTCCAAGAGTATTAGAGAGCTTGCCATTCTGTATTGGTGCCTTAGGGTTTCTCCTAGGGTCATGAAGTAAGAAATATTTTGATAACTAGGAACTTCAATTAGGCAAAAATCTCTCCATGGAGACCCTGCTACTTTGTCATTTCCAACCAAGGAAGTTGTATATCTGCCTGAAGGCACACCAGATGTAATCCCCAATCTATAGATGAGACAACTGATGATGCCCTGAGAAGTTAAATAGTAGAGGGAAAACCCAGGTATTCTGTCTCTTTCTTCTATGCCCAACTACATCTCCCCAAACCATCCTTTAGCTGAGAACAAAAGCTCTCCCACTGAGAGGACCTGTATTAGTACAGCTATCTTACCTTTATGTGTTGAATGAGTTTATCATCCTCTGGCAGAGTTGGGTCAATGGCAATGACAATGTTTTCATAGCCATTATTATTCAGCTGAATGAGGGAAGCAGTTACCCCCTGCAGCAGGTACAAGGTTAAGGTGAAGATAAAATTCTTAAAGGTTCCCATTATTCCGTGCCAGAGAGTGTTGGTCCAGAAGGCCCTTCTCTTTCTGTGTCCCTCTGTCAATCTGTCTTTATATATGTGACATCATGTTCCCAACTATCAGTGTTCTCTTATTACTACCGTTTGAACCCTCTTCCAGCAAAATATTTTACAATTTCATCACTATTATTCTTGTCCATATTCCAGGGAATAATGTGGAAATAATAATTTTTATATACTGAAATATTTTATTTTGGAGAGGGTATTGTGTTTCTTATCAACCATGCCATATGTTGGGATTGAGGATGTGAGAGTCCCACACCCCATTTCACCAGAATGGACACACCCAGTTGGTTTGCCAAGACAAATATTATGTTTACAGCTGTTTGCCCTATCTGCAACACAGATTCCTGTCAGCAGAGGTCTGACTGGAGTTAGCTAGCACTTATAAAGATAAAAAGGAATGACATAGTAGAAGGAGCATGAAATTTGGAATTAGGAGCCTTGGATTTGAATTCTAGCTCCAGCATTCTCTATCTGTGTGACTTTGGGCAAATCACATCAGTTTTCTTGACTTTAATGTCCTTATAGGTGAAATGATGACCTCTAAACATCTACCCTGGGCTCCTTGAGCTCTTGTGTTTCCCCATTAGAATATAAGGTACTTGAGGGCATGGCCCATCTTTCTTGCTTGTATGTGTATCCCCAGCACTTAGTAGAGTACCTGACATATAATAATTCCTTAAAAACATTTTCTGTATCTGTCTATCTCTCACTCATTCTGGTTATATCTGTCTGCTTATATATCTATCTAATCTGTCTATCATCTGTCTATCTATGTGTCCATATATCTCTATCAATCAGCTATCTAGCTATAATCAATCAATCTATCCATCTATCTATCTATCTATAATCTATCTATCTATCTATCTATCGATCTGTCAGGAATCTAGGCAGTAGGTAGCACAGTGGATAAAGGATAGGAAGATCTGAGTTCATATCGAACCTAAGGCACCTATTAGCTATATCATCCTAAAAAGTTACTCAACCTCTCTTTGCCTTAGCTTCCTCAACTGTAAAATGGGCATAATAATCACATGAACCTCATAGGGTTATTGTGAAGATGAAATGAGGTAATATCACTAAACTGCTTTCCAAACCTTGCAACTAAATGTAAATACTAGGTATTATTACTATTATCCTTTTAATCTATCACTGTGTACCTGTGTTTCTGCATCTGCAAAGTGAACTAGATAGAATCAATGATCTCTAATTTCCAGGAAGTTCTAAATCCTAAGGTTCTTTGCTCTTGCAATTCTATTTAATCAGAACATTCAAACACTAACGTTCAAACTCTTAGGCCTGGCATTCGTAGTTCTCTACAATTTTTGTGTGACTCTATTTACCATCCCTTCCTTATTACTCTTCTCTGCTCCCTCCAAAATGTACAACTCTGCCTCTTCCCTTACTCTTATGTCATGTTGTCCCTAGGCTGCTTTCAGAGGATCAAGCATTATAGCATTTGAGCTAGAAGGGACACCACAGGCCATCTATCTCAATCCCTCATTATATAGAAAGGGAAACTTTTCACTGAGCTCAGACAGATTTAAGGGTCTTTGCTAAGGGTCCTCCAGCCTTTACCATGAAACTTGGTAGACTTGTAAGCCAGTTCCAAATCATGCAGAGTGTGATACGTGTCCCAGTAAAGGTCCTGACATTGTTCCTCTCCGATGTTGGGGTCACTAAGGGACTTCGCTGTCAACAGGGCACCCTAGGAGCTCATTCTGCCCCATGTGGCCTCTTTACCCTGAAATTATACTCTTCCCTTTGTTGTCCCTTCTTTCATTGGTCAGTTCCTAGAACTTTCAGCCATGTCTTCATTCATCTCTTGACTCCATGTACTACTCTCTAGACTTTTCCTACCATATTCCTTCTCCCTTCACCCCCTCCCCCACCCCCAGCTCAACATTTCCAATTCCTTTTATGTATTGTCTTCTCCAATAGAATGTGAGCTCCCAGAGGCCAAGTTCTGTCATTCTTTCTGACTGCTTATATTTCCAGCAGTTATCACAATGCCTGGCATATAGCCGTAGGTATTTAATTAATGCTTATAGAGTGGACATGACTTGTGAGAAACCACTCCAATTTCGTTGTGTTACAGCTGAGAATAACATATAGTTAATGGCTGATAGTACTTTGGTAAATGTATTAGATGTCATATTACAGTATACTGTTTAAGCCCAGAATTCTTTCATTGACCTGGAGTTATGGAAGCATGGAGAAGAGTAGAAATGATCGCTGCATTGGAAACATTGTCAGAATTCTCTGTGTGCCTAGCAGACCAACAGATGCATTTCGGTTTCATAAACAAGAATTAGGACTCAGTTCAAGAATTAAGGATTTTGTCAACCCTGGTGGTCAGAATATCCTCTGAAATCATCCAAAATTACTGTGGACAAATTATGGACAAATTAAAGCTTCCTTGTGATACAAATGTATCTTCTCAGGTTAATACTTCCATAATAATAATAGTCGTAACAACAGTGCAGTTTCTCTAAAATTAGGATAGGGACAAAGTCTGAACCTGTGACTTCATTGGTATAGGGAGCTCCTGGATTAAGAAACAGCCTCTACCAATGCAGGTTGGTACCTGCTCTGCAGCTTAGAACCTTCAACAGTTGTTCAGGCCACTGAAAGTTTCAATGACTTGCCCAGGATCCCAGAGCCAGTATATGCCAATGTGAGATTGGAACTCAGGCTCTTCTGGTTTCTTCAGGCCAGCTGTCTCCACAACTCCATTCTGCTTCCAAACTCTGCAAGATAATGATCACTCCTTGTTTGGAAAGTTCAATCCAGTCATGTGTTCCTTAGCAATGTGAACCAACTGAATGAGGACACCATCCTCATAACTCTTACGCTGTGCAATCTCTGTAGCTTAGTACTTTTTTCATTTTAAATTGTGGTCAAAGAGAAGTTAAATGAAATTACAAAACTGCATGTAATAGTATCCCATGAGAAGATACATCCATATGTTTTATAAAGTTGGAAGACAGATGTGGACTTTATTTTTATTGTCTCTGCTGCTAACACTCAGAATCTTGTCCATACTAGGACATTGGACTGATGGGTGGTTTCCGGAAAGAGGCAATTTCCCCCTTCCTTGGACCTCTTTTGTGGATTATGAGTGATGGCTCTAGGTTCTTCAGGTTATAAGCAGAATCATTGTGATGATATTTTAGAGCCAGAAGATAACTTAGAGATAAGTTCAGCTTATTATTTTTCAGTTAAGCAAATTAAAACCTAGAGAAATTCTGACTTGAGTGAGTTTCCATGGCCAGTTAAAGATAGGTTTAGCCAAAGGGTACTGACTTCAGAACATATTAACAGTTAATTATTAATGTACACTATATGAATAGACAAGGATCTCTAGCTAAGAGATGCCTACTCGGGCAGTTTGGCCCCTACTTTGCATCTTATAGTGTTACAGAATTGTCAGTGACTTACCCATCACAGGACGAGGTTGTGCCATGGACAGAATTTGACCCCAGATCTTCCTGACTCTGGGAGTGGCTTGTTTCACTCACATGCTTGAGGTGGACATCCCCCTAGCTCACCAGCAGGTTTGAGGTCCATTGGTTACCCTCAACTTGCTTTAGCCCTTTTGCCAAGACAGTTTTACTGAAGTGTGGCCACAGCACATGCTACCCAGCTTCTTGAAACCATGGTGAGAGTTGGGTGATTGATTAGACACCACAGGTGAATGAGTAGCCCTGAAAAGGTCTCAGCCAGCTCTCACAGCAGAGGTGCTAGTCCTTCTGAACACTCCACACACCCTAAGGTGATAGTCCCACTGTGGAAAGCAATCTCTTTGTCCTCTTCAGACTGTATCTGGAGAATTATGCTCAGCTGTTGGGGCTACATTTGAAGAGGGACATTGGTATGCTGGAGACAGTCCAGAAGAGGGTTTGAGGACTAGAGACTTGGCTATTTGAAGTTCCCATGAAAGGAATAGGAACAGTTAGCTTGGACAAGAAAAAATTTAGGGGTGTACAGGACTATAATTCTAACACTGAAAAGGACCTTAGAGTACAACCACTTTACTTCACAGATGAGTAAACTGGGGACCAAGGGGGTTAGAATGATAGGCTAACGGTCCCACAGGTTCTCTGACTCGAAATCCAGCACTTCTCCCACTGAGCCATGACATTAAAGTCTCTGAGGGTCTGTCATGTGGAAAAAGAGTCCAACTTGGCTCATTTTGCCCTGGAGGGCAGTCCTAGGAATTGCAGATGAGAGGCAGGATTCGGCTCTGCAGAAAGAGAACTTTTCTAAAACTTATAGCTGTCCAAAATTGACATGGCCCATCTGGGAAGCTTGGGTTTTCCATCTCTAGAGGTCTTCCAGTGGAGGCTCTTAGACAACCAATGGGTCTTCCATATCATATGAGCTTGATTGGGATTCTTTGAATTCATGTTCTGTTGGAGGAGATTCCTGCTTAGGTAAGTTTTGGACTAAATGACTTCTGTTCCAATTCTGAGATTCTGTCTTGTGGGGGTAGACTAACTTCTGTGCACAACTGCTGTTGACTAACCAAAGTGAGAAGTTACAAGTGTAATTTCTCTAGCCTACTGGCAACCATTTAATATTTTTATTCTTTCTCTTTACATTTTAATTCTTTTGCTGTATTCCTATTGTAGTCTTTTACTTTTTATATCATTTGTTTCTGAAAATATCCCTCCCTTTGCCCTTAGCAGCAATCCATCTTTTATAATATTTTTTTTTTTGAAAAATAGGTAAAATAAGCAATTCAGCAAAACTAATGAAGAAAAAGACCATGTCCTATGGTAGATACAATATTATTACCTACAGTCCCCCACTTCTGCAATACAGGGAGGGAGGCATGCTTTCCTATCTTTTCTCTAGGGACAAGCTTAACTGCAATTCAAAACTATCTTAGTTCTCATCCAAATAATCAAAACATAGTTTTTATACAAATATTAAATGAGAATTGTCTTTATTTGTCAGTATACAGGATAGTGAATAAAAAGGTGATAATTCTCACACTTGGCTATATAGTCCCTTTACTTACATATC